CCCCAAAACCCCAAAACCCCAAAACCCCACGTAATAGTACATATGGTGATGTACAATAACCCAAGTTAATAATAAATATGACAAAACCTAGGTAAGACTCTTGGCATTAGTGGTTGGATAGTGGAGTGTAGAGGTTATTGGTCTTTGGGAGAGGTGGAAGGAAAGGGAGGTGGAACAGGGTGAGGGGTTAGGAGGGGGAGAAGGGGAGAAAGTGGGGGTGGAGGGACAGGAAGAGAGTATTGAAGGGGAAAGGAGGGGGTAAGGGAGGGGGATAAGGGAGGGGAGGATGGAGGAGGGAGAAGGAAGGGGTTTAAGGGTGGGTGGAGTGGGGGTTAGTGAAGGGAGTGAGGAGGGGAGGGGAGGGAGGAGGGGAGGGAGAGAAAGGAATGGCTGAGATTGTTAAGGTTTAGTAATATTAATGTCTTTGATGTTTAAAATTAGTATTATCCAGCGACTAGATTATTCACTTTCTTTTTATTGTCTTATGATTCTTTTTATTCTCTATTCTTTCTAAAACTCTTTATCTCCCCGAAGATCGTTCTTACTTCTTTCTTCTCTCTTTCATTCTTTCTGTTACTCTTCTTAATCACCTCGCCCTTCTAAATTTTTCAATTTAGTAACTTCTGGGATGGAAGCATCTATTTTCCCAAAAAAAATCATCTGGTTATAAACCTGATTATTTAATGACTAACAAGCTTATTTCCGACTCTTTAAGATTTCTTTCCTTGTTCCAGACAGTATGCATGGCTCTTTACAAAATTGATAGCAAAAGTATATAACCTAATCGTTTATTAAAAAGTGTAGTAATTGATAGTTTGCAGATTTTTATTTCTTGAGATCGTAATGAGTTCTTAATTCGAATTTCATCTGAATGGTGCAATCAGGGCTTGGCATAAGCTTATCCATGACTTTGGTAAAGAAAGTTATATTTTGAGGTGCTGTGGTTAACTTTGTGTTATAGAATTTGGCAGATATTTTTAAGAGATTTAAATAATCAGCTGATTAGAGATGAAGTCAAGAAAATAGCTTGAGGTGATAGAAATTATGAAGATATGCATGGGACTAAGAGAAGATATCCAAAGGTACGCCCGATAGGGAGAGTTATGGAGGATTACAAATTATTTGTGATTTTTTTAAAATTTTACCATCTTACGGTGAACAATGTGTAGACATTTTATGAAAAGTTATTGCTGAACTAGGAACTTATAGAGGCTTAAGCTCCAATAAAACTTTCAAAGTTAATAAAAATTTGATATGCTTTATTATCAGAAGTTTTAGTTAAAGAACTTTATCAAAATAGATAATTGTAAAAAATCACTTCAAAGCTTCTCCTACTATACGTCAAATTCCAAAGATCTCTCTCACAACAAAGCCCTTCAACCCCACCTATAAAGCTTCTCTCTACTCAAACCACTCCCAAATCCTCTACCCCAACAAAACCCCCAACAAATTTCCAAACACTCCTAACTTTCTTCCAACCCCCCATCTCCTATTTCCAATCCCTATAAACTCCCCTGGTCTTCCTACACAATCCTTACCCTAACCATACCCTTCAACCCCTTTTACTAACCCCAGCTGGTTGCCTCTCTTCCCTCTGGCTTGGCCTGCCATCTTTCCATCTAATAGGTTACATATTTATTATGATGGCCAAGTTTAATTTGAAATTGTATAACCTTCTTTTTAGGCAACCTGAAAGTTCAGGTTTGTGCAAGTTTTGGTTGCTTTCCTTTGGGTAGTGGTGAGGCTTGTTGGGGGTAGAGAAGTGGCAAGATATGAAGTTAATGGGCTTGAGATTGTTAGCAGAGAGGAGGGGCAGCCGAAGTTGATTTTGCCAGGTAAGCTTATTGTGATTAGTTTTTAGGAAATTTTTATAAAGGAATCCAAGCTCAGAGGTAAGTGGTTGCTGTGATAAGGTTTTAGGTACCTTCAGTTTGATGATTATTTTGATTTGCAGAGTGATGATAACCTCTATGTTGAAATCTTATCGTATCCTTGCAATCAAGAAGTTATCCAAACGGAAGCTCACCAACAAAGCCAAGTAAATTTAGTTATTAATTTTATTTAGCTTTTTAACAATAGCAAAGGAGCAGACCCCTTCTTACCTAATTATTCAAATAAGTTCCTGGAGAATAAGAAAAGCTGGAACTCGGAGGATCAGAGTAATAGTAAGTTATTGTCAGAGTTTTGGACTTACTCAAAACATTCCAGAATAATCACTAACTTTTTTTAGACTTATTTATGAGCAAAACTGTAATAGACTGCCAAAATGATAAGCAAGTGTGTAGCTTAGGAAGACCTAGCTATTCCTCATCCCAATCTCAAGCTTTAAGTGGCTATGCAAACCTGACTCTTCCTCCTGGTATTGTGCTTGCACTTTGCAATACCACTTGTTTGGAGGATGAAATTTGAACTTCAAGTCATAATCAAAGTATTGTCAGAAGCTTAATTATCTATTCGAACAGTCTCCCTCATCGTAATCTTTTAATTAAACCAAAATAGGAGCTCTTGGAACTTGAGGTAACTCTCTAGAGGAAGATGGAGAAGAATGAGATATAGGGCCTTATAGTTATGGTGGTTGCTCTACTACCTGTGCTGTCAATCCTGGGTATAGTTGAGAAAAGTATTATGACGAAGGATCCAAGTGAAAATCTATTAAAGGAGATGGACTCAGAGTTGTAGATGAACAATGAGATGATGGTAATACGAGTAATGGAGATGGTTGAAATGAGGATATGAGAGTTGAGATAGGGTACTCTTGTGTCAATGGAAGTGATACTACTCAGGATGTGTGTAGTACGCAATGTGGAAATGGAGGATCAACTTGATATGATGGAAACACTGACGATGGAGATGGCTGATCAAGTTCATGCCAAGTAGAGGCAGGGTACCTTTGACTCACAATATTTAGTTCTTGGGGGTTTGGTTGACGCTCTGTTTGTAATGATGGAATTGTTGTAGGAAATGAAGTTTGAGATGGAGGCTCAGATACTTATTTTGAGTAAGTTTAAATTTGACCATTATATATAGACCATGACCAATCTGTACTTATGTAACTCCTGGATATGAGTGCTCAGGAGGATCTCCCACTTCTAAATCTGTTTGTAATACTATCTGTGGAGATGGAGGTCGAACTTATTGGGAGCAATGAGATGACGGTAACTTAATTCCAGGTGATGGCTGAGATGAACACTGTAATGTTGAATTTGGTTATAAATGCGATGGAGGAACCCACCCGCTAGTGAACTCTCCTGGTTCACCTGATTCTTGATATATTCCCTGTGGAGATGGCATTTTGTACGGAACAGAGGAATGAGATGATGGCAATGAGAGCTCTGGGGACGGATGATCCTCTTCATGAATAGTTGAGCCAGGATATCAATGAACTAGAGAAAACTCTACAACTCCTGATGTATGACTTCTTATTTGTGGAGATGGGAAGAAAATGAGCGGAGAAGCATGAGATGATGGAAACACTCAGGACGGAGACGGCTGAAATTCCCAATGCACAGCTATTGAATATAACTATCAATGATCGGGAGGTACACCCTCATCGTCTGACAAATGAGAGGTAATATGAGGAGATGGAATCTTTCCTACAAATTTAAATCCTACTCTTTACTGTGACGATGGAAATACCGACAATGGTGATGGATGTAATGATAAATGAGAGGTTGAGAAAAATTGGATATGTACTGGAGGTGATCTAACATCTCCTTCGGTCTGAAATTTATGAGAGCTAGATTTCTGAGAAACTTGACAAGACCAAGACCATACTAAATGAGCTAAATGCCAGCAAAAATATAGACTCGATGCAAACTTATTATGTGAAAAAACTCCTGAAATTTTTATGTCTCCTCAAGCACAACAAGTCGCTTCTTCTGCACAATATGCTTCATTAGGAGCTGGTACAACTTCAGTACTATCTTCAATTCTGAAGTTTAACTCTCCTGTTGCAATATGGGCAATGATTAATCAGGTTCAGCTAACAAGTTTGGTAACTTTGACAAGAATTCATATTCCCGATGATCCCAAAGGAATGCTTCTAGGAGAAGGGTCAGGATTGCCATTTTCTCCATTATCTCTGGATATCAAAAGTCTTCCCTTGTCAAATGATCTCTATGATCTCCTGAACATTAATCAAAGTAAGCTATAATACCTTTCTTGTTAACTTGATTTAGGTGTTGTTGAACTAGAAGCAATCGGGATGGAATCAGAAAGCTCTTTAATAAACAATCTTGGCCTTATCTTTACTCTATTGCTGTTCTTCATTCTTCATATGATGCTTCTCTGTTTTCCGAAATGAAAGCCTAGGAGTAGAGAACAAAAGTGAAGAAGGTTCTTTTACAAGTGCATCACTGGGATACTCTCTATATTTGCATTTACCATATATATCAGAACTTTCTTAGAAGCCTTTCAATACTGACTTCTAGCTGCCTTTTCTTCTGTTATGAGTGTAGGCTTCAAAATTTTTACTCAGGAAGCAGGGTTGAAGGAGATCATGTCAGTAGGCTTCGCAGTCTTGTTGTTTTTCCTATGCTGAGTCTTTTTCCAAATGTCCTGGTATATTGCTTATAAGGCTAATAGTAAGAGGGAAAAAGAGTCAAAGAAATGGAGAGAGTTCTTAGTTGGAGTCAAAGAGACTAAGTTAGCTAGGATGTATTCTTTCTTTGCACTGCTTAGAAGATTATTGTTCTGAGCCCTTGTGACGTTTTGTGTATCTCTTGGGTTCCAGGTACTTATTATAGGGTTCATTGTGATTCAGCTTCCATATCTTTGCTTTATTGTTGTTATTAGACCATTCAAAGATGCTCAAAATAATTTAATGGAAGTTATTAATGAAGCTTTTCTCAGTATAATAATCTCTTACTTTTGATTTATTAACACTCCTGAAAAATGGACAGACTCACTCACTAAAATCTTCCTCTACCTCTTCTTAGGTCACATATTAGTGATTTCTCTGATTCCTTTAAGTAAGTTTACCCTCACCTGTAGTAAACTGCCTAATCACCTGCTGAAAAATGCTCAAAAAGACCCTCTGCAAATCCTCTAACACAGTACACTCTCTCTCAACTTCTAGAACCCTTCAAAACTGCAATACCCTAAGCACTCGAATATGACTCCCATCAATATGTCCAGACAGCTTGCAAGCAATAACACAATAGTGTCAACCCCAGTGTCGGTGACTCTTTCCAAAACTCCTGTGCTCAAACGTATTGGGCAGAATAAGCCTCCTCAGAAGTAGAGAGGTTCTAATTGATCTCAGATTTCAATTGCTTATAGTAGGTCTGGGGTTTTGGGGTTTTGGGGTTTTGGGG